AATTGTCACAATTGAATCCTCAAGTTTAGTCTTTATAGTAACTTTTGATTTGTTCTTTTTAGATATACATGACAGTAGAGTGCATTTTGGCATATTATACATACACAGAGTACAGCTTATTCTAATTAGGAGCCTGTTCTTATGGTTGTACATGTTCATAGTTACCTTGGTAATATATTCAAATACAAAGCTAGGAAAGTTATGTTCAATTAATTCTATTGTCCTTTCTATTACCATCTTCTGTCTCTCCTCTTCATTTCCATTTGTGTATTCCAATCGACTTCTATTCTTCACCCCTATTGTCCCTAATAGTGGCTTGCTATCTGCATATTGAACAGAACATTTGGCCTCTGCTTTTCTGGGGTTAGTTTATTAAACTTACTATGATATTTAAAGACAAACCAAGTTTCATTTTGCAGTCTGTCACAACAAAGTGACTGAAGTTGTTAATCAAGAAGTCCAGGGTTGGGATGTTGTTTCCAATTAGCCAAGAAGGAAGAATTCTTGCTAGATAACCTCATAGCCCCTCCATCATGCTCTCTCTGTGTAATCCTACAACCTTATAATTATAATGATACATTGTTGTTCATTAAATACTGAAGACTTGTTGTAATGACATTTCCTGTTCTTTTCATTAAAACCACTTATAATGATAGGTAATAGAATCTTGGTTACAATGTATTAAGGCACCATTTTTTTAGTTGAGTAGCTTGCTAAACAGGGTTGAGTGTTACATAGCCTTTGTTTCTCTTATAATTTCCCTTTCAACATGATCTATGTATTCTAGTCTCCCATCTTCTCATTTCTTTATTGAATAGAAACAATGTTTTGCATCAATCTTTCTGCTTTACTATGAGATTTATTCTCCCCACCCTTTCTTACCCTCAAACAACAAGATGACAGAAGGAAAACCCCAGATGACTTCCTGACCTTGTGCTAATGAAGGCTATTAGAGATTCTCCATCTATTTCTCCTGAAAGGAAATACTTGGGTGGGAGATGGTCCTAAGTCATACCAGGGAAAGTAAAATGTGTAGGTTTTCTTTTCTCTGTTCCCATCTTGGAGACACACTCATAAGGGCAGAAAAGGACAGCTTACCATAAAGCCATAATAAGGAATGCTGAAGAAGTGAACCCATGAGAATTGAGGTGTCCTGATTCCAAAATACAATGACAGACCCAAAAGAATCTACACAGAGAAAAAGTATGAATTAGAACAGTTCAAGGATTTCAAGAAGAATTGTAAGAAGATGCGTTCCAAGAGCTCTACAATCTTCTAAACATTTCTGCTAGGAACAACTCTTGAAATTTTTGCACTTATTCTACACATTAACCTTCCTTTGCATGTTCAACCTCTGCATGGCTAAGGCTGTTTACTATTTTAAGTTAAGGAAAATATACTATTTTATAAACTATGTTGTATATTTCACTTATTTGGAAGATCCTTAATGGTCAATTCATTGTCCTCAACTTTCTCTGCAACTGTATATAATGGAAGATTAAGAGGTATACTTGTCTCTTGGTTTCTAGAGAGCCCAGGCTCAGAATCCATGCATACAGATACCCCAGCCTATAGATGCTCAAGTCCCTTTATTTTTAAATAGCATAATGCTTGCATGTAATCCCAAGTAAATTGTTTATATTTTAAATATATGTATCCTTTATATTTTAAATCACCTCCACATTTATCATATTGTGTAATAGCATAGAAATGCTATGTGGGTAGTTTTTACCATGTATGTATAACCATATATACTAAGTAGTTCAGAGAATAGTGAATAAAAATAGAAAAATTGTACATATTTAGTACACACACAATTCTTTTTCGTGAGTTTTCTGTTTGTAGTTGATTGCATCTTAGAATGCACAATGCAAGTATTTATGGGCCTTACTGTGCTCACTATTCTAATTATATCCCTACCATGTGTTGCCCCTAATAATCCTGAAAATCTAGGAACATATGAAGAATATTCCTGAGCATCACATACCCCTCTCTACTCCCATA